AGAGTCTGCCTTGAACTGCTGATAGGCCATTGAGCCATTCAGCTGCTCTCGCCGTGCCTGGGCACGTTCCTTAACAGCAGCTCGCCTGTCATGCACCTGTAGAGTACGTAAGACAAAAATCAACATAAAATAACACTGTTTCTATCAAAGCAATACAAAATGCAATTCAAATATGAATTGGCTATTAATCCAAATGCGTATATATCCCTTAATATCAGACTGTACATTTTAGCATGTATTCATATTCCCAGATAAACCTACCTGATCTCTGCGCTCATTTATGTATTTAGCATCGTAATGTTCAGCAGCAATGAGCTTGTCTGCCATCTCGCTGAACACACGCAGCCTTTCGTCTTGAGCCATCAAGGTGTTCTCGAAATCGTCATGTCGTTTCAGGAGCGCCTCTACGTCATCAAGGGTACTCTGTAAAAGCCACATAGATTCCTTCAGTTATCATCCCGTAAAATAACGCATCAAGGTTATGCGGAATATAAACCACAAAAATACGTTCAACTTAGTGATCATAACTATCACTATATATCATCAACTCACCCCAAGATCTTTGTAATCAAGGAAGGTTTCATGAGAGCTTGTGGCAGCATCGATCTGATCAGCTTCCCTGTTGAAGAGCTGGAGGTCCATGCACTGCCGCAGCCAGTCACCTTTCTCCTGCCACCCACGGTGGATTGCTCTTTGCTCCTCTCCAAGCTGGGCCATCTGTAAAAAAAAAAAAAATATTGTGAGATCAGCTGCAGATAATTGCAATACTGAACTAGGGTGAATAAATCAGTGAAACTGTATGTATATTTAACTTATAAAACATCGGCCTATGATTTCGGATAAATAAAATAAATAAATAAAAACATAATATATACACCATATTATGGGTGTTACATGATATACTGTGTACTAAATGTAGTAACCAAAGTATAGACCTTTTCTTTCACTTCACCGAAGTCTGGGTTTCTCTTCAAGAGCTTTTCTCCAAGTTGGCCAAGCTCATTGAATTCATCCTGATGAGCCCTGATGTCATCACCAAGGTCCTGGTGACTCTTCAGCAGGTGTTCTGCAGTTGTTACGTCGCGTGCTGGCTCGTCGGAGTTGAGGGCATTTTTAACATCACCCACCCAGTTCAGCAAGCTCTGTAGATTGAGAAATGTGAATGTTACATGCACTCCCGATATGTTGCACGATCTATAATTACTTCCACTGTATTAATATCCGCAAGAATTGGGGTACACACGCACCTTGGCAGAGTTGAGGAAGATCTGTTGTCCCACAGCTTCTTCCAGACGGTTTCTCCTCTCCAGTGCCTTTCCTTTGAGTTGTCCCCAATACTGCTGAATTTCCTCCTGACGGTCCTCGACAGCATGCTTCTCGCGGGGGTATGACGCTTTCACTGAATCTGCGAGAAGGTTAACTCGGCGCACCTGAGGGGAGAAAAATCAGAGTGGAAATTATTCTAGTATACGAAATCATTCTAGCATACGACAATTAGTCTTCCGGTCAACTTTCAATAATTGAGGGTATTATTTGGCTGAAGACATGAATAAACATTCAGTGGCACCAAATATGCTAAATATTCCAAATGCATTTATTACTGATGTTTTACCTTTTCTTCCACTGGTGCCAGTTCTCTCTCTAACTGGTCGTGCTTCCGCTGAAGAGACTGCACGGTTTTCAAGTCTCTTCCCAGTTCATCCGTGTCTAGTTTCTCCATTTTCTCGACCATCCAGTCCCTGGTCTCGTCGCACGTGCGATGGAAAAGCTCCACGCTCGAGGCGCCCTCCAGACTGCGCTCCTTCTGCTGCTTGAGGCGGTTGAGGTGGGCCCACTGGTCCTGGATCTGCTTGTGGCGGTTCTTGATCTTTTCCAGCTGACTGTGACCCGAGGCCACGAAGTCCTTCACCATCTTGTCAATGATCTCGATCCTGCGACCCGCAGCCGACAGATCTGTCAAGAATTGCTCGAACTTTTTCTTGGCGGCATCGACGGTATCGCCCTTGTCATCCGTCTTCAGGAGCTTCTCCTTCTCCCTCATCCACAGCTCAAAGCCTTGGCACTCGCTGAAGAAGGAGTAGAGCTTGATGGATTCCTCCAGGTAGAGGTGACGCTTCTGCGCAAGGTCGCACAGCTGGTTGTAAGAAGAGTTGATCAACTGCAGCCGCTTCTCGACCGTTTCCGGCTCTTCAGCTACCTTCTTGCTTCGAGCTGAAACACAAAAGACGGAGAAATAACAAAGGAAAACAACAAACTGATGCAATTATATTGATTTATAAAAATACACACACACATATATATGGTGTGTGTGTGTGTGTGTGTGTGTGTGTGTGTGTGTGTGTGTGTGTGTGTGTGTGTGTGTGTGTGTGTGTGTGTGTGTGTGTGTGTGTGTGTGTGTGTGTGTGTGTGTGTGTGTGTGTGTGTGTGTGTGTGTGTGTGTGTGTGTGTGTGCGCGTGTGCGAGTGCGTGCATGTGCGAGTGCGTGCATGTGCGTGTGCGTTTGTCGCGCACTAAAAACACAGCAAAACCTACGCGGCGCCTTGGGTTTCCTCTTCTTGACTTTGACGGTCTGCTTCACCATCTTGGTCTTGGGCACCATCTTCTTCTTGGGGACGCGCACCTCCTTCTTGACGTGGACGTTGATCTTCTTGGGCTGGCCTTCTCGCACGTAGTTGGCTGGCACGAAGCCCTCGTCCCCGTTGGCCTTCCTTACGTTCCACCAATCATCGTTCGTCTTGCTCAACAGGAACAAGACCTGAAGGAGAAATTGTGTAATGGAAGTTATGTTCAGAATTATTGTTAGAAACAATCAGAAAGGAAATGTCAAACTTTGTAAAACAAGATATGTAAAAAATATACAACATCGACATTTGAGTCCTAGCATATCAAAAATAGTACATAAAGAAAACAGAATCAAAAACAGCCATATTGATAATAACAATACGACCACCTTGGTTATATCAATAGTAGTATGACAACCACGAGAACCACGAGAACCACTACTAACCTCTCGCTTGGCCATGTGCATGCCCTGGCCCTCGAAGTCATACCTCGCGACCACCGTGGGCACTTCCCTCACTTCCATGACAGTCACTTCTTCCACATCGTCAACCACTTCTTCCACCGTGACCTCCTGTGGGACCATCTTCACCTCGTCGACCCACTCAAACTCTTCCTCGTCCTCCGCCGGGATCTGCTGCTGAGGGGTGATCTGTGAGGAGGAATGGGTCGAGTAGTTAGTTTGGTTTCCGTTGGGAGTAACGGACGTCTTGCGTGGGCGACAGCAAGGAAGGACGTTTAGTTGTGACGCTAGTTGCCAATCCAAGCTTAATTAAAAGATTTTGTAATGTATAGGGGTCATCTCTGGTAATCCAAAATTAATATTTTCCCCTACTTTCGGGTATTTGTGAAATATGAAACGTACTGATATGTTTTATGTCAAACAACATAAATACTAAATTTTCCTTATAAAATCATATTTGTACAAGATAAAGCGTAATCAAATATCGAATATAAAAAAAACACTAAGACCCAGATGGTAAACTAAAGCTTACATTCAGTGAGGATATGCCCGACTTGATGAGCTTCTGGCCTTGGGCATTGACAGCCTTGACGTCCCCATCGTAGGCCTTGATCTCCTCCTCCATGCGGACGTGCAGCTGCAGGAGAGCCATGCCGCTGGGCTCGTCCTCGCCGTAATCCTTGGACTGGCAGAGTGGCAGCTTCTCCTTGATCCACGACTCGACCTCGTTGGCGTCGGCGTTGAACTGTGGAAGGAGATTGTTAAGTGGTTTGAAGAAAGGTACTTCGGTTGCATTATGTATTTTTTAGAATGGAAATATTGCAATATGAGCGATGCAGCCAAGTGCGAATAAATTACTGAAAACTGTTTATCACAAAGGAATAAAAAAACATGAACATCCCGACACTGCCAATGTTGCAGCCACACCATCCGCCCTCAACCATCCAGCGGGCATTCCTCCTCCCTCACCGAACAAGCCTCCGCTGCATCCTCCAGCTGCCTCCTCCTCTCGGCGGCGTAGTGCTCCAGGCCCTTCCACTTGTCCTTGAGGGCGGCGATGCGCTCGCTTATAGCTTTGGCCTCGGGATGGTCGGCCTTGAGCATGGCCTCGCCCGAACGCATGATCTTCTCTGACTTGGGGCGTCGGGCTCGCATCTCGTCCTCGAGAGCCTGGTCGAGGGTAAAACGGTGGTTGTTTCTGATTATAAGGTCTTTTTAGTGGTCTCGTGTTATTTTGTTACTTGGTATGTCATATGTTTGAGTCAGATTCACCGTGGTACTGCAATATAAGCTTTAAAGTAAGAAAGATATTAAAGATGGGAATAATTTTGGTTATTAAGTAGAAACGAAAAATCAATTCATTATAAAGATAAACAAGATGAAACCGAATGGAGCATTTAGACATAAAACAGAAATTCATTAAGTTTTACTCCTTAAATGTGAAAAAACATGCAATACTACAAATACTTCGAGATAAGACACCTCGTATCTATCCAGACATGTGCAAATAAACCTTCAAATCTAGCATCTTTCTTGTCAAATGACAAAAAAAAAACATGTAGTAGCAACACCAAATAATAAAAAAACATATATAATATTTTACCATCCAAACTACAAACATCTTCAGAAATTACAACATACAAGCAAGTACATAAAACGATCCACTGAAGCGAAAATACTGCATGAACGACATGACAGTGCTATGCTTTGTTCCTGACAAGAAGGATGCCAGCTTTTTTTTGTGATTGGACATGCACTATACATCCGCTGGTAAACATTACCTTCAAAAACACAGCTTCCTGGTACGGTGTAAGGTTACGGTGAGTAGCAGTGTTAATGCAGTGTTACACCACAGTGGCAGAGAGGTAGGGGGAAGGGGAGTGGAGATACCATGGGAAAAGAAAGCCATTATCTATATCAGGCAGAATATGCATGGATGAACATTTCGTACAGGAAGAGCTATGCTACAGGTTATACTGGATAGTCCCCTTGTATGTCATGCAAAGAGAAACATGTTTTATGTGCAGTGGGTTACGTGAAGATATAGTGATGTAAATGGTACTCATATCTGCAAGGAGAAGTCCCATAGAAATATTTACATGAAGGTGATTTAAACTGCATTCCATATTTCATCCCAGCCAAAGATAAAATATTAAGTATATGTACAGCTTAAGAAATATAATACAGTGACAGTTTGTGAACAAAGCAAACGAACACAAACATACATACACACACGCGCGCGCTACACGCACGCATGCACGCACGCATCCGCATCACCACACACACACACACACACACACACACACACACACACACACACACACACACACACACACACACACACACACAGCCCAAGCACACGCTCACGCACGTAAACGTTCACATTAACACATGTAACTGTTTTAAAACATGCAACTGCTACCATTACACAAGTAAGTAATAACAAAGCATTCTCTTCATTTTTTTCTAAATGTTGAAAAGGAAGACCCATAACAAAAAAACACCCATGTTTTATGCCAAGAAAGGTAGTCATGCAGTGTAAAAGTACTGTTGTAATGTTGTATGAGTTTAAACTAAATACAAGTCCCAAAACAAATACATGTCTAAAATGTCCTTAAAATACCATAGGAATATAACGTCTACATGGTATCAAAAGCTAGTATGTCAAGCGAGTTCTACTTTTCGTAGTTGTGCTTGTCAAGAAAATTCACACATATTAACTTTACTAATTACTTGTAATAATAGCAAATCTAACCTGCCCTAAATAAACGTAAGAGCTTTCCCCCTTTGTGGAAAAGGAGGGAGCCAAACCTTGTACCTTGTGCTTCTGCTGCAATGACAGGACTGCCCTGATGTCCTTGGCAGTGACGCCCGCCTGGCAGATCCTCTGCTTCTCGATAACCCAAGCTTCCTCCTCCTCCATGTCGACCTCGAACTGGAACAGATCCCTGGCCTCCTCGAGCCTCGCCCTACGTTCGGCCGCCTTCTTGAGGAGCGCCTCATGCCCCTTGTTGAGGTCCTGGAGTCTCTTCTGGAGGACGGGCGCGTCCTTGTGTCCCGTGCTGATGAAGGCCTCGCCCTGTTTGTTCAGCCTCTTGATCGTCTCTCCCATCGAGTGAACCTGCGACTCCATCAGCGCGTGCTTCTGCAGCAGGTCCTCTACTGCCAGCAGGTGACGACCTACATCGTCCGAGGTGAAGCTCACCTGGAGAAAAAAAGTAATTTTCCATTAATGAATCCTCATATCTAGATCAAATCAAAGCCCTAATCAAAATCAAAACAAATCTTCGTGTATGTGTCACAGAAAAAAAAGAAATCTCACTCACCTCCAGTTCTCGGATGGAGGCAGTGATGGTGTCCACTTCTCTCATGATCGCCACGAGGTCGCAGCAGTTCTGGAGGTGAACCTTGTGTTTGTTGAGAAGATCCAACAGTTCACTCCACTTCTTCAGGATGTCTTTTTCCTTCTTTCTAATGGCGTCCTTTCCACGGTAATTCTCAGCGTCCAATTCATCAGCCATCTTTGTGAGATCTTCAAATCTCTCTTGCTGCAATAAAAAATATAACAATGAAGAAACCACACATATAATTGCAGTATCTCATAATGCATTAACATGATCCAGTATATGTAAGATCATAAAAAATTAAGATTACACTGATAGAATTCACGGCACGTACCCGAGCCAAAATATCAGCGCTGATTGCTTCGTGTTTCTTGACAGTGGCTTCCACCTGGGCCAGGTTGCTGCCGTAACGAGGGTCACTCAAGACCTGGATCATCTCTTCAAGGTATCCCCTTCGTAGCACGCTCTGGAAATCAATTTCATTGCAGTTAATCCTACTTTTCCACGTGTATCTAGAAGAACGCTGCCTAGTTAACCAATCAGTAAAACACATGACGTCTGTTAGATTCAGTTATATTGAACTATACTGACTACCTAAAGAACCCTAAAACAGTCAACACTACTCATTCCTATTACCTTCTTGTCAAATTTGTAAGCCAGCTGCTCCAGCCTCTCCTGTCTAAGTAGCTCCTCCCTGAGAGCAACCTCTCTGTGATGCTCGGCCTTCTCAAGCCTGTTCCACTCTCGCTCGATGTCGTGAACCATCTGGCCCTCCTTTGGGGTGTATGCAGGCTGGTTCAGGGCCTTCAGGCTCGCGTTGATGGAGAAAAAGAGGGCCTCGATCTCGCTTCTTTCCTTGTACCTAAAAAGAGGAAAAAGGAGAATTTTGGATTTAGATTTTTTAAGAAGACTGAAATTGTCGTCTCCAAATTAGTGATGTTATTTTTTCTTTTTGCTTTATCATCAGTTTTATTCTAGATAACGTATCAGTTAGCTCCAGATCACTACTTCCACACAAGAACTCATTTCTCTTCCCCGCTGCCCTTACTTGGGAGGCTTCTCTTCCGTTCTGTACTTCTTGAACTGCAACAACAACTTCTGGATGCCATCTAGAGAATTGGGGAATTCCCTGCTGTCCAACTCGACGATCTTCATGAGGATCCACTCCAACAGTGTGCTGGTGATCTTCTCGTATTTCATCTTGCTGTCGTCTACATCCTTCATCTGGTTCATGATCTGAACAAAGAAAGAGAGAAGAATTAGTATCAACGACGCTGGTAAGGGTTAACTCTTATTTTTAATATTTCCCTCGTCTTAGTTATCCAAGAAGTGTAGATACCGGGAACGAGATGAAGACACATTACGATAAAAAACAAGAATAGCAATGGCGATGACGACATTATGTACATAACGCAATAGAAGAGCAGCGCTGTGTGCACATATACTTACATTGGCAATTCTCTTCGAGCCCTTCAATTCATTCTTCATGCGGGCGAAGGTGTGGTAGTACGAAGCCACGTAAGTAATGATAGACTTCTCATCGGGTTTGTTGGTGTCCACATCTTCGAAGAAAAAAGGTAAGTGTTGTTTAAGAACACACAAAAAAATCAAAAGCCGTTCTCAGTAATTGAACTCTTTAAAAGATATCCGCAAACAAATTCAATGGCACCTAAACTGAAATCCAAACCAAACAAACTAAGAAACGAATAAAAAACACCGCTTCGAAAGCTCACCTTCGGCATCCAGGATCTTGGCGATGCCCAGCTCGTCGTGGGCAACGTTGAAGGCATTGTTGAGGTTGTGAATGTGGTTCTTCGCCACAAGGCTGTTGTAGTCGATGATGTCCGGACGGTGGGCGTGGATGAGGGCGTTGAAGCCCAGGCCGTCTCTCCATGATCCTAGGAGGAGAATAAGCACGTAAAAGTCGAGCTCCTTTTGACAAGTAATATAGGATCCATTTAGGAATATAGTTTCTAAGAATGTTGCAGGAATCGAATGGCCTTTAGTGACTGCTAGAACTTCCCTCCCAACTTTCAATAAGAACTACTCATGGTGTGTTTCATACATATTTTTTGTCCCTTCTTTTAATTCTTCCATCATTGACTTTTGATAATGACTCGCAACTCCTAATCAGAATCAGAGTCCAATCAGTTTCTGGTCTGATGAATCTAGATGTTAAACCAAGCAAGAGTAAACACCAACGCCAAAGGCACCAAATCAACAACAAAAAAATCATCCCAAATCTAAATCCCAAATAGATTCTGATTCTAATCCAAATGAACCTAAACACGAATACCAAGGAATTTTAAACCCCAAACGAATACATTTTTTTTTACACTAAACGAATGAAGATTTTGACTCTCAGACGATTCCAGACTTCGAATCCCCCTCAAAATAATCCAGATATTGAATAAAATCACCCCAGACTTAGTAGAATCCTAAAATAATTCAGATTTTGAGCCTTAAACGATTCAAAAGATTTTGAGCCCCAGATGAATCCAGACCTAGAACCCCCCCCCCCCCCCCACCCAACCCCCAAATGACCCCAGATTTTGAACTCACGCGAAAAGTCCTCGATGTTGACGCCCCTGTATCCTGCGGTCTTCCTCTGACACCAAAGGAGCAGGGCATCTTTGGCGGATTTTTTCTCGCTGCTTTCGTTCTCCTCGTCCTGAAAGCAAGACGTGGATTAATATCCCTTTAAGTAATCCCAAATGGAAGGGGAGGGGAAGAGGATGGATAGAATAGGATAAAAAGGAAGGGTAGGAGAAGGGAAATCGATTTTTAAAGGAATTCTTAAATGCAAGATAGAATGCATATGATAGTATTTTGACTTTCGAACAATTAAAAAAAAATCAAACAATCCACTGACAGACTCAGCGCATTACTTTCATGTTAACGATTTATCTTAATTTCAAGGGATTCTTGAAATAAATAAATAAATAAACATTTATCCTTGTGGCCGTAATGCGAAAAAGTCTCAAGTTTCGACTACAAAGTAAAATGTTGGAGGAGGGAAAGAACTGAAATAAAGATAAAAAAAATAAGATTAGAAATAGAAAAAATATGCCTGTGGAAATACATAAAGATCACTGATAAAGAGAATGAAAGGTAAATAAAAGAGACTTACATAAGTAAAAATATATTTTTACAAATATAAGTAAAAAAAATATTAGGTAAATACACACCTACAATGCAGAAAAGAAAAAAAGCCCAACGCCATGAAACCGAGGAAGAGAACGAAAGGAAAACAAGGACCTAACGAAAGAAGTCAAGAACCGAAAGACAAAACCATACAACCATACGAGAGCATACAAGACACCATACAACGGAATAAAAAGACTACAATAAAGCCCAAATACAACGAAACGCAGACCACGTGACTACGCAGAGGGAAAGTGTGGCAAAAGCAAAGAGGAAAGGAACGAGGATCGAGTGGCGTGGGAGGCGGGGCGGGCGGGCCGAGGACAGGGCGCTGAGCAGAGCGGCGCGTCGCTCCACCGGTAGAGCATGGCGAACCTGGTCAAGACGCCACCAGACATTACCTGCCTTCGGTGTCCCCCCCATGCGTCCCTCCCTCACTCCCTACCTCCGTTAAACGCCTCCCTCCTCCCCCCCACCTTCCGTTTCCTTTCCTTTTCTCTTCCTCTTCCCTTTTCCTTGCTCGTTCCTTTCCTTTTAGTTTGTTCTCTCAAGGTTTCCTTTCATTTCCTTTCTCTCACTCCCTCTTCATTTCCTTTAAACTTTCTTAAGGCATTTCCCAATCTTTTCCACTCTCTTACGTACCTTCCCTATCCTTTCCACTCTCTTACTTCCTTTCCCTATGCTTTCCCCCGCTTCGCTTCCGTCCCTTTATTCCTTTCCATCTCCCTACCCTTTCCCTTCCTCTCCCGCTTCTCCCTTTTAGGCATTCAAAAAGATTTTCATGCATATAGACCCACGTGTGGAGAGGTGGGTGGGGATTGTGGGTGGGTGTGTACACAGATCATTAAAACATCGTTAGACTGTGTCCTCTCTCTCCTGTCCCTCCTTCCCTCATTCCATTTTACTTCCTCCTCACCCTCCTTCTCTTTCCCTTCCTCATCTCTCTTTCTTCCCGCATCTACTCTTCTTCCTTTCTTTCATTCCTTCTACTTTCTCTTCCAATCCCCATTTCGGGCATTATCACCCTTTCCTATTCTTTCCTTCCCTCACCTGACCCCGTCCCTTCCTTCGCTCTTTGCCATACCTCCGTTTATATACCCCTTTTCCCTTCCAATCCCCCCCTTGGACAACTCGCCGCTCGACTGACCTTTGTACCCGAGAGGTCAAGGCAACAAGGGGCCAGGTCTTCGTTAGCTAGGAGACCAAGCAGTGCCTCTCTCCTCTCCCCTCTCCCTCTCCTCTCCCTCTCCCTCTCTCTGCGCTGTCTGCTGCTGCTCCTTGACCTCCTTGCCTCCGACTTACCGGATTCTCCCTTTATCCTACCCTTAAATCCCATCCCATTCTACCCTTAAATCCTATGCCACACCCTAATCCCCCTGTCATATTAGCCTCATACGTCCCTTCTCCTCTACCTAAACGCATGATTTTTCCCCGTATTCCCTTCTTCCTCCTTCCCCTCTTCTTCCTCACACTCACACACACACACACACACACACACACACACACACACACACACACACACACACACACACACACACACACACACACACACACACTTCTACAAAGGCCATCACACACAAACAAACGTTGTCCTGGAGGAAGCAAATACTGACACGTGTCATGAGATCATCTGTTTATGCTCATACTGACTAATAGGAAGGAGGAGGAGAGGAGGAGGAGGAGGAGGAGGAGGAGGAGGAGGAGGAGGAGGAGGAGGAGGGGGAAGAGGAGGAGGAGAGAGAGGGAGGAGGAGGAGGAGGAGGAGGAGGGAGGAAGAGGGAGGAGAGAGGTGGAAGAGGAGGAGAGGAAGAGAGGAGGAGGAGGAGGAGGAGGAGGAGAGGAGGAGGAGGAGGAAGGAGGAGGAGGAGGAGGAGGAGGACGAAGACGACGACGAAGTGAATGAGAAAGAAAAAAAGTAAAATAGAAAAGGAGAAAAGGATGAAAAAGAAAAAAGAAAAGAAAAGGAGAAAGAGAAGAGAAAAAGAGAATAACAATAAAAAAGGAAGCACAAGAAAAAAAAAAAATAAAAGAAATAAAATACAAAAAAAAACAACCCACAAATCAAAACAAAAACCCTCCCCATCCCCCCTACCCCCTACCCCCCCCTCCGGCACATAGGCCTACTCACCACATCAATCTCAATCTCCTGAATCTGGAATCGCAGAATGATGGTCCAGATGAGGCCGAGAATCAGGCGTGGATTGCCGTCTACGATGTCCTCGGCGCCGATGCTCTCAAGTCGGACCTGTTCGTTAAAAGAAGGTGGTCGTTAGATGGCGTACTAAAGAGGAAAAGTGGTTGTTAGACGGTGTATAATAAGAGAGGGGAATGTGGTCGTTAGACGGAGTACGATCAGAAGGAAAAGATGTTCGTTAAAGAAAAACAGTGGCCGTTATACGGTGTGTTCGTTAGAAGAAGGTGTACAATAAAGGGGAGAAAGACATTCGTTAAGAGAAAAAAAATCGTTGTAGAGTGTGGTCGTTATAGGGTGTTTATAATGGGGAGCGATCTTCGTTGGAGAAAAATTATCTTTTAATGAGCTTACGATTAAATCTTCAATGACCGTTTATGTCTGTGTCAATTCATGTATGATAATTAGCTACGTTGTTTGTGAGAAATATAATTGTACATTCACAGATGATATAAAACCTGATAATATTTGATGATGATGATGATGATGATGATGATGATGATGATGTGATGATGATGATGATGATGATTGATGATGATGATGATGAAGATGATGATGAGATGATGGTGATGATGATGATGATGGTGACGACGATGACGATGATAGTTATAGTAAAGTAATAGCAATAAAAAATAATAACAACAACAATAATAATAGTAGAACACATCCTCGTAAATAGAATTCGATAAAACGTAGTACGTCTCTCCCACGTATTGCATAATCCTCAAACAAACAGACAGGCAATAAAATAAAGAATTCATTTGGCAATTTCAGCCAAAAAAAAGACCTACACAAAACATACACAAGCCAGCCTGTGTACATATGGCTTTCCAGGTCACTACTGTTAAAGGAAAGGTGAGTCAGTTGCAGTTGCAGACGCAGTGTCCTCTCCTCTCCTCTCCTCTCCTCTTTCCATGTCCTAGGTCCCCTTCTCCACTTTCTTTTCTCTTCAGTCCCCTGACTATGTCTATCCTTTTCCTTCTTTTCATTTCCTCTTTTCTACTCTTCACTCCTTCCTATGTCCTATCCCCCTTTTTCCTTATTCCTCTTGCTATACACTATCTCTTATTTTCCTTCACTATCCCTCTTCCTCTCATCTCCACTCTTTTATCATTCCATCCCCCTCTCCCTCTCACCCCTCTTCCATCCCCTTCTCATTTACCTTTCTCTCCCCTCTTTTCCTCATTTCCCTCTATTTTCCCCCATCCCTCCCATTCCGAGTGTCGCACTGAAACGGAATCCGACACAAGTGACACGGCGACAACGAACGGGCGACACAGGAGAGTAAAAAGGTGTCGTGTTCGAAGAGACTAGACTTGCCCTACGCGGTGTACTGTGCGCAAGGGGGCAATGCTGGTCTTGTCTTTCAGTGCTGCGGCTGGAAAATAATCCGGTGCTAAGCTCCCTTCCCTCCATTTTCTTTTTTTTTCTCTCACTTGGTCTAGTTCTTCGCCCCCTATTCTTTAGTTTTATTTTTTTTCTCTCTTTCTCTCTCTCCCTCTCCCCTCTCTCTCTCTTTCTCTCTCCTGTCTCCTCTCTCTTTCACTCTCTCTCTCCCTGTCTCTGTCCCTCTCCCTCTCTCTCTCTCTATCTCCCCCCCCTCTCTCTCTCCCTGTCTCCCTCTAGTCATTCCCTTTAAACCAAAGTATTTATTCATCCATTTCGGCCACCAACAACACTCCTAATACGACGCGCCAGGGTGCCACAGTGCCATCTGTTTGGGGTCAGCGAGGTGACGGGGGGACGGAAGGAGAGTAAGGGGAGGAGGGCAAGGGGTAAGCCGGTAAGGGGGGGAAAGGGGTAATGGGGTATGGGGCAGGGAAAAGAAGAGGAGGGGAAGAGGGGAAGGGGGAAGGAGGGGTAGGGAAGCATATCTAATCGAGTCCGACCATTGGTACTTCCCTCTCGCCGGCTCCTGACCTCGCATACGCACGTGGTCGTCAACCTTTCGGATAGGCACTCGTCCGGGCGTTAAAAGTAGTCTTGGTCTCGATAAACATTTCACTGCCTTGGAGTCCTTGCGGTGACAAAGATACGCACGCACACATACACTCATTTACTCACTCACTTTCTTCTCTTCTCTCTCTTCTCTCTCTCTCTCTCTCTCTCTCTCTCTCTCTCTCTCTCTCTCTCTCTCTCTCTCTCTCTCTCTCTCTCTCTCTCTCTCTCTCTCTCACACACACACACACACACATATATATAACACACCACAGACCACGAACACGTGCCGCTGCGTCTCCTTACATATTTACTAGCCATGACCTCTGCCACTTCTCCTGCCCCCCCCCCCCCTCACACCCCTCACTCCCCCTTTCTCCCTGTTCCTAAGGCAGCGTGACTCAGGCCGCGCGACCTAGTCTGGTTCGGTCGTTCACCTCCCTCGCCCTCCCTTCACTCTCTCCTCCTCTCGTGCCTTACCTACCTACCTATCTCCCTCTCCTCTTCTCCTTCTCTCCTCCCTCCTCCTCTTCTCTCTCTCCCCTCCCTCCTCTTCTATCTCTTCCTCCCTCCTCTTCTCTCCTCTCTCTTCCTCCCTGCCTCTTTTCTGTTTCTTCTCTCTCTCCCTCCCGTCTTTCTAATC